TTCTTGGAATGCAAGACACTCGATTTCTACTGAAATAATTAATTTTAGCAAATGTCTTTCACATCTTTGTCAACAGATGGTAAACCTATTGCATCCTTAACATCATATGGGATGTAACTTGTCCTTCTGCTTCATTGCAGACATGGAGTAGAAACAAATACTGAAATAATAGTTATGCAAAACTTGTGTAATTACTAGTAATTTTAACATCTACATCTAACAACAGACATAGCAATGAACTCTGTTTTATTTATTTTTTGGGTTTTGGCCATAGAAAACTCAGTACTGTACTGGAAAAACTGACTAGGGGGATCTATGCTAGCAAAAAACCTGGATGTTTTGCATGGATCTGGCTGAAAAGTAATATGTTTTTGTAGTTACTTTGGGTTCAGTGGAGCTTATTTAACTCCAGATCTACACTGTTTCCTAGGAACATGGTGGATTTATGCACTGAGTATCTTTTGATCATCTCTCTGGACAATTTGGGCTCCAGGTTCTTGCCATGCCCATGCTGCTGCGCTCATTCAGGAAGCTCTTCTGGAGATGGACTTCTGAGAAGTTCAATCCTGAGAAACCAAGATGCTTCTTCAGGAGCAAAACTAAGTAGATGTATTCATATCCTCAGCCTTAATATAGTATGAAAGAAGCTGAACTGTTTCTGGGGTAGGAGCTTTCCTAGGATTAATGCGTCTGTTTTACTATTTCTGAGATAGAGCCAGCAAATGCTATCAAACTCAGCAAGTTTTAAATCCTTAGCAAAAACCCTTCTCCACTCAGAGAAACTGATGAAGTGTCCAAGTAAAAAAACAGCAGAAGATGTGACAACAAAAATATTTTTTCTTATGACTCATAATACTTGGGTTTCTCATAATACTTGGGTTTGGAATAGGAACAATTAAAACACTTTGCAGAGGGAGGAAAGCACAGCATAATTAGACTTAAATTTTGTGTATCTGATTGCCTGGGGTGAGAGGAGAAGCCATGCCATGCCTTTCATTTGTAAATCTAAATAACTAATTGAAATAAAATGTGAGTATGCAAGAACACTGCTAGATCCAAATAAGATGGATTAATTACATGTTTTACTTGCCAAAGTCATGCTGTTTCACTGAGATCAAATTTAGAGCTGAAATCAGGTAAGTGAAAAAGAGTATGTGTGGAGACTTAGTGGTATTCTTTATCAGGGCACTGAGTTTTTAATAAACAAGTAAGAAGAGAACTGGGCACAATATCCACTTTTATTTAGAAACAAATTGAGGTTGTGGTCCTCCATGACATCATTATTCTTGGCAGAGGCTGAGAGGTAAAGAAACAATAGGAAGTCTGTGCTCTGCAAATGCTGAACAATCTCTTACCTTAGAATGAGCTATCAGAAATGCTTCTCAAAATATAAAATAATGTTATGAACATTAGCATGTTCTGTTGCATGTGATCTGCTAGAAGCTATCTAATTCTCCTTACCCCTATCTTACTACCAGTTTTACAGTCGGTGTCACACAACATTTCTTTCTTTCTTCTTGATTTCTTGACGCCTAACAAAGAACATGATTCTTTTGAATTTTCATTCTGTGCTATTCTGCAAAAGAGGTATAATTAAGTTATATTTAAAGTGACTGACAAACAACCTTTGGACAGATACAAGCTATGATAAAGTTTCCTCAAGAGTAGTGAAAATGTCTTCTAAAAATACGACTCCTCTCTCCACTCTCCAGATGTGAGGGAGGTGCATTGCCCAAAAACATATTTCCCCCATTCCTAAAGGGTTTTTTTTTCCAATTTCCTTCAATACATGACGAGTAAGATTTCCCTTCATTAAGAAATAAAAAGAACTAGAAGAAACCTAGGTGCCAATTCTGCTAAATAAAATTATGTCTGATTAATATACCTGCCTTTAAAAGCCAACAAGTTTCACGATGCCCTGCAGTGCCATTAGAATTTGAAAATCTGTTTGAAGAGGCACAAATCCTAACTGTTATTTTGAAAAACCTAATGCTTCACCCAGCTCTCAGGGTGAGTACAGAAAAGACCAGGGCTGAACACAAAGGTTTTGACATAGTCTAGGGGGTGCCTCAGTTATCTAATGCCAGAGCAGAGGTAAAAATCTGACAAAAACTTTTGAGAAAGAACAGCCCAACACTCAGGATGAGATGGGATTTCCAGTTCATTGATATGAGTTTTCATTTCCCCATGGGAAAAAACATGGCATATTTACAAGCTCTTGTCAAATTTCAGAGTCTCAAAGGGATGAACAGTATGTAAACAATTGCTTACAACTTTTAGCTTCATATTTAAAAAAAATAGCATCGAAAGCCATATTTAGGCATCTGAAAAAATAAGAACCCTTTGTTACTCATTCACATCTCCAAGAAAGTCACATCTCTTGGGCTATCTCCTCATATTTTTCCTACTTTATTCTGACTTTGAATATCTGAGTCTGAAGACTGAGTAACAAAGTTACTCTCAGAGATTTTTGTTACTGTTGAGTTTGCATGCAACCCCTCTCCCTCCACTTTCCTCCTGAATTACTATTAGAATTCAAACAGGAACACTTTGGTGTGTCCTCTAATGCAGTATTGAGAACTCCATGGAATGGCTAACAGTTATGGTCAACCAAAGGATATCTGTTAAGGTCCATTTAAAAGAAATAGAAAACATCTGACTGTGAAGTGTGGAAAGTATAATTAATTTTAAAAGCAAGCATAAAGTTTATGGAGCAAGGATGTCTAACCACTGTTTGTGCTTTTGAAACTAAATGCACTAATTTTGTAATAGACGAATGCATCATGAAGCAGCAATATTTTGAACCTCATTATAGAGGAAATGTTTGATTGAACCGGAAGTTGAATAAAGGCTTGGCTCCTTCAGAAGTTAGTTTTAGACAGTAAACATTCTGATATCTAGAAAATTATCAGGAAATCATCAATGTCACGACTTCACATCAGAAAAGAGTAATATATGTAAATATATTCTGGCTATCCTGAAATTAATCCAAGAGAAGTGTGAGATGTGTGAATTTGATTAAAGAATAAGAGTGCAATCGGTAGTTAATATTACTTTAAGCAAATAATTTTTTCAAGGATTGAATGCGAAGTTTGATGCGTGAAGTTTTCTGTAGAGATATAGGCTAGTTTTTTTCCCCCCAATAAATACAGTGAATAATATTCTTGTGAAAAATTAGCTTTGCAGCATTGCCAAAAACCACATGATAAATGAACTAAAGATTAGATATATGACAGATTTCAGGAGCTCGCCAATGGTGAATCATTGTCAAATAGATTCCCAAGTGAAGTATTACTCATATCGGTGCTAGGCTCAATGTTATTTCAACATTTCAGCAATGATCTGAGGAAGCAAATATAAAATCAGTGATGATAAAATATGCAGATGACATGGAGATTGACAGAAACGTAAATAACACGCGAGATTTGGTAATTATTTGAAAAAATTAGTTGGACCTATTCAAGAAAATAAGGGTGTTTTAACAGTAATTTTTGTAGAAGCATTTATCAGAGAACTGAGACATCAGAGAAGAACAGGGGAGTTCAGCCTGTATGTACAGATGATAGTTTCTGTCTTACCTGTGTCTTTTTCTGTGTGAGCTTTTTCATGAAGTCTATATTTTTGCATTTATAAGTTTAGCCCAGCAATTCTAGTCCTCTTTGCAGAAGTTCAGAACTTGTACCTATGATTGTCTCGCACAATAATGTGTCTTGTTAGGACCTTAGTGTCATCAGCATGATAAAACATATATGCATGTGCTTCTCCTGAACATTCAGCATGCTACTTGCAGTCAATATAAATAGCAGTGGAAGTCACTTAAAAGTAAATCAGACGCAGATGTACACAGCATTTTTGGAAATGTAGCTGCCAGCACATATACAGTACATATCTTCTTTCAAATATTGGATAATGATTGGTTTGTATTTTTTAACCAAGCAGTTTTAGAGCTGATCTTAAAGTCTCAGTTGAAGTACACCTGCTTGTCTTCTTCCAGGTTCATTTCTAGCAGTATTCTGTTTTCCCCATGATATTCACAGCACCAGAATATCATCTAGCCTGCATATAAACCTCATTTTTATTTGAGTAACTTTACTTGAGAAATTCTAATTATTATTTAAGAATTAATTCTCACTCCCCAGATTTTATATCTCCAATCTCAATTAGGATTTGCTACTTTAGCAGAAACTCAGGCTCATTAGAATCATTGTTTCCCAGATTACAGCTGATTCTTCCTCTGAGCTGGCCACTGTCTAGTGTTATGAGAAGATTTAGGAGAAAAACCACAATGCTAATTTAAGATACACTCAAAAAGTAATTGAGGGTAATGCTCTAGAATTTTGTAGAAGAAAATATAAGCTACAGCAAGATAACTACAGCTTTTGTGTTTACAAGGATCTTGTATGTTCAAGTGCAGCAGAATTAAAAAAAAAAAGAGGTAAAACATTGAAATGAGAGTGATTTAATTTTTTAATTATGTTGATGCACAATCAATGAATGTACAGATTTTATAATTATGAAATAGACCAGAGAGTTTGGCTAAGCAGTTATTACACCCAAAAGAGAATAGATAGAATGCTTACCCATATCCTGGGCTCACTATGAAAAATCCTCTATACTGCTTTCACTCTTTCAGTCAGGAATAGTGGCCAGGTAATGGCACAGGCTGCTCAGGGAGGTGGTGGAATCACTGCCCCTGGAAGTGATCAGGAAAAGGGTAAATGTGGCACTGAGGGTTTTATGCTTTAGTGGCCATGGTGACAACGGGTAGGCTATTAGACAAGATGGTCCTGATGGTCTTTTCCAACCTTGATAATTCTATGATTCTAAGACCAGCACATACTGACAGTTGATGAATGATAATGCTGATGATTTCTCTGGGTCTGTAATATGAAACTAACGGCAAGTTTTATTAAAAAAATTGTGGTTTTTTTTAGGGGATGAGAGAATGCTTTTTTAAGGCAAAGTTGTGAAGAGTTGTGTCATTTCTGTAAAAGACAATTAGGAGGAGAATGAGAAAGATTCTTCTATCAGCCTTAACAGAGAAACTGAGAGAATATCATCAAAGACTGCTGTTTTTTGAAGTTAGTCAGTTTGCTCCTTGCTTTAATTCTTGTTTAAATATAATTGCAGAAAGTAATTTCTCATCTGACACAGGATGGTTATTTTTATTTGTTACTGTGCTGTTGTGTCCAAAGAAGTACCTTTGAATATGTAGAAATAGAATCCATAAACTTCTAAAGTGTTTCTGTGTGGGACTTTTAAGATCCTGATTTCAATGCTTGTGAAGGATTTGCCTTATGATTTGAAAAATGCATGAATAAATTTATTATGTTTGATTGTTTGGAATTTATATTTTATTGAACATTTAATATCAACTTACCAAGTATCTGTATTATAAGATATCTTCTCTTCCATACCAAAAATCATTCACAAATTTAGGCTTCTGGAACTACACAGTTATTTCTGTCATTCCACCTAGAAGGAGTGAATAGCTTTATTCTCAAGGGTTACATATACTTATGTGGTGAACTTTTCTCTTTAAAAGCATTTTTAATTTTTATGACACACACTTACACTTATTTTTCCCTTAGATATTTTATCTTATAATTGAGCCAAACATGAAATTTGCAGTTACACATTTCACATACTTCTATCTAAAGTAGTTCCTTTGAGGATGACATATGAATTATTTGCAAAGACATTTCATAGGTAAAGGCTAATAGTACAGTTTAGAGCAGAAAATTAATATGATGATACAAATCTTAGGGAACATACCAAACAAAACAAATCGTGCACTACGCTGGTTGGATTTTCTCTAAGTATACATATGTATCTTTTATTATTCTCTGATCACCACTAACATATTTCATACACTTTCATACATCCTGTGAAGCACAAATTTCACACAAATTTTATTGTTAAATGGTCAAAACCCAAAAAGCCTCTCTGACAGAGCTTTCTCTCTAGGATGCAGAGGGAGCTGTCTTTTGTATAGCACATATTTTTAAAGCTGATGGATGGAAGAGATTATGTGTGCCCTGGGAGAAATAATATATCACCAAAGGCTTCTCTGGAATGTCAGCATATTTTCCTTATGCTTATGTACTATACACAAAGACCTTACTAAGTTATACACTGCTAGTCAGCATACTATTACTTTACATCTGTACTTAAGGAAGATACATTACAGAATCAAATGCTTTTCAGGATAAAATCAGTAAATGATTTTTAAATCTATATTTTGACTATTAATTTTCTGTTTTGACAAGAATAAGGTAGAACAGCTGCATGGACAGCAGGTTAATATGGCTTACGCACTCAGAGGTTAAATGTATTTTATATACATGCTATTTAAAATTGAATGTGATTTTTTCATTCCCAAAAGGCAGTAAAATTGAAAAATACAAACTAAATATTTTAATGAAATTCAGCATATAGGAAACCAATTTGGTCTTGAACTCCAAAATTAGTATTCGCTGGTTTAAGTAAGTGATTTTTAATATACATTTTTTTGAACTGCCAGATTAGTGATTAGCTTGGAACGATCATTAAAAATGTGTAGATATGTTCTTAGGAGAATGGCAGTCTCATCACGCTAAAGGTGCACTCACAAGAATATTCAGCTCTCACTAAAATAAATTAAAATCTTAGTGTATATTCACAAAGTAACACTTTCTTAAAGACTGTGATTATAAATGTGTTTGGAGGTAAACTATTTGCTGGAATAAGACTGGTCTGTTCAGTGTTTTGGAGAATCAAATTCAAATGTCTGAATCAATTGCTACTGATTCGATTTCTGTGGCTGTGAGATCTGTCCCTGTGGAGAGGAAAAAAAAAAAAACAAAATAACAAACATTTGCAAAGAGAAGCTCTACCAGCTGTAATAAAGATCTTCTTCATGGACGAGTGCAAAGCAAGCAAAATTGTGCGAAGTGCTGTTTGAGGAACCATCTCTTCCACAAAAGTATGAGATGAGAGAAGGTACAGATCAAACACAAAATTAACACATTGGAACATAGGAATGGAAACCATAGCCTAAATAATCATATATAATCTACTGTAATCCTCAGACAAAACATAATTTTTAAGTGTTCGCTGTATCATCAGTGCTGCATACTACCTTCTCTTTACATCTCATATACCACGAAGCAGCTCTTTAACCAATTACAAACACAAGCTTTGAAATCAAAGATGGTGTGTGGGAACTGCTGAATCACAGACTGAACCTCTGATTGATCACCTGAGGCGAGCACTGAGTCAGCCATGGGAGCACAGGTGAAGGCAATTCTCCTGTGCTGCTGGAAGGGGTGGAGCCTGGCTGCACCTCTCCTAGACCCATTTAAGAGCTGACTATCAGTAGGGAAGGATCTGTTCTGGATTTCCTCTTGGAGTTTTTCAGCAAGCCTAGGACAAGAGTAAGCCTTTTATTTTGTTTGTTTGCTTTTGGTGTAATAACCTGCTTAGCCAAACTCTCTCATATATTTCCTAATTATAGCACCTGTATGTTCTTTGATTATACAGACCAAATTTAGCTAAGATGCTCTATAGGAAGAGATCTGGAGAGGTTGTGGACATTATCAGCCTGTACAGTTCCTGCAATACTTGAATGTTTATTAAATAACGTTTCTAGATGAAAAAAGGCCAAAAAAGCACTTAGTGTCCAAATATCTACTGACTCTATGATACAGGAAAGTTTGTTTTCACTTCCAATTCTAGTGGCCTTTTTTTTTAAGGGAGATAATTATGGTATATACAGTATTATCACGTATTCAATTTGTGACTTTCATCCAAAATAATAACTTCCAGATTTATCATGTATTGATGAACATGGAAATTCATGACTATGTTACTGACATAGTGTCTGCTTTAAATGAGACTCAGCTTGAATTTGTTAAATCTAGAATTAAATCCAGAATGAACACTTTCTTTAATAAGGAAGATTGATCTTGCAATGAGTCAATGAAAATCAAACCACATAAAAAGATGAATTCTCTGTATAATATCAGCCATGCAATCTTATTGTGCTAATTGCAGCAGACAGTGTGTACTGTAGGTATGTTATCCAAGTTTTTATGTCATATTAGACTAATTTCTGTTGCAAATGTTTCCTTGGTCTGCAACTTTTTTTCTATATATATATATATATATATATATATAAAATGTTCACAACAACATTGTCTTAGTGCATCACTTTATTTGGTACAAGACTGCCTAGCTGCTATATATATATATATAGAGAGAGAGAGAGAGAGAGAATATATATATATATAATATATACATTTTCAAATAATTTGTCTTAGCTCAATGGCCCCCAGACCTTTTTGTAATTAAGGAGTTGGTATGGGGTTATCAGATTTTGGGAACCCCATGTACATTATGGGATCAAGGATCTTGGCCATGGATCTTGAGCAAATTGTTCAGGCCTGTTTAAGCAGCCACTGAGAATTTGTGGCTTGATATGGTCTTTGTGATCTTTAACTCCTGTTGAAAGACATTAGAGCTAGGTATTTACACCATATCTAGCTACTCACAGGCAAGAATATTTGGCACCTACTCTCCTTTGAAGAAAACCAGATTAAGAAACCCCTTTTCTTGAAGCATTCTTAAATGCCTATCTCCATTCCTGTCTTTATCAGCCTGTCCTTTAACACCTTGTCCTTCTGCTTCTTAATCTTTGTCATCTTTAGTTGGATGTTAACTGGCTATGTTAAGCATCACAAGGTTGGGGGTCATGAAGATGCTCACATAGTCAGTGTATGTGGTAGTATTGTACCAAGTGGCCTCTCTGCTCCCTTCGGCCAATTTCATGCTCTCAGAAGGAGCTAGTAGATACAGTTGTTTCCAGAGCTGTGAAGCAGCAAGGTTAGATCTTCTGCTCAGCTTGCTTGTTAAAAAGGAAATATTATTATAACCTTCATTGACTGAAGAATACTCAGAGAACAAGAATAGCTTTATTTATAATTGCTTTTATAAAAAAATCTTAAAGAAACTGGAGAGCTTTGTACAGTGAAGGCAGAACAATGTGTGTTGGGTAGAGAAGGACTCTGCTGAGCACAGCTGTACAATGGAGCTCCACACTGCATTTCAGTAGTCCTTCACCAACCTAAGGAGACTTAGCTATAAGATTTCTTCCTCAGGTATGAATTTTTATTAGTGCTGGGTAGGAAGGATATTTTGTTTATTTGCTTGTTTCCTGTGCAGTTTTTGCAGCCTGGAAAGTGTCCTGTCTAAGAAAGGAATACAACATTAAAGTCCTCAAAAAAATCTCCACAGCCAAAAACAGTAAAAGTAGCTCCAGTCGATTGAAATGCTTTACTTAAACTTTAAACGTTTCTCCTCCATTTGACTGGTTTTTGTTTCTTTTATTTTTGCCCTAGTGTTTTAATATTCTAAACTTATTTTTTAGGTCAGGAGAAGTTGCTTTAAAATTTCAAAGCAACAGGATCAAATGTTTTGATGGTTTCTGAACTTTTTTTCCCATGTTGTTCTCCCATCAGATTTATGAAGGTCACTTCTTTCCTTATTCAAATGAATAGATATTTTCTGATTAAATATGTATAACTGAAAGATTTCCAATACTGCTTCTAAAGGCTTCTTTTACAACAAGGTCAGAAGCTATTACTATTTGGTATTTATATTACATTTATTCTAGGACCTGTAATTAATGCAGAATGTTTTCATTAGCAGCTTAATCTGGGGACCTTGCAATGAACATGCTTTGTGTTTTGATAAGCTTTCTTTTGTTACCACATTTCCACTGAAATTTAGAACTGTCAGGGTTCTCTGCAGACAGATGCAATCCCTGTCTGTTGCATTCTTACTATCTCCACTTGCAGCATAGAATAGGAGAAGTGTATATGGAAGTCCTTAATTTTTTAGTTGGGGATCTGTTTCTACAGTGTTTGGAAGCTTTTGCTCCAAATACTTGCTATATTCTCTAATTTGCAACAAGGAGCCATAGTTTGGCCTTTCTGAAACTAAGAGCAAATCATTCAGTTATTTAAATGTTTATGCATTACATCAGCTAAATGGATCCCACTGCCATTCTGACATCCTGAAGCTGTTCTGCTGTGACTCACAG